ATGGAATATACAAGGAATCAACATGCAATAGGCATAAATCCTGCAGGGCCTCATCATTATTATATGCGTTACAGTGGTGCAGAGAGGCCGCACAGTGCCAGGTGCTGTACATACTCCTAGTAAGAGCTAAATGGACAAGACAGAGCAAGGTATCATTATCCAGAGGGGGAGCTGACATGGATTAAGGGCACTCGTCTCTTGAGAATCGGGCCCTTCCTTGATCAAGGAGCCAGTGGCATGTAACTTGATCAAGGAGCCAGTGGCACGGCCAGAATTTGAACCAAAGCCTCCCGAGTCCCAATTTAGGGTGTGTCTACACAGCACCTAGACACCCCCGGCCAGGGTTTCAGCACTAACCCGCTATCTTTTTAAGGCGCACCAGGCTTTCGCTTGTTTCCAGTGGTTTAAAACCATTCCAAACTTGATCCAGATGCCTGACGCTGATCGGTGCTAGAACTAATCCTTCACTGGATGGCTTGCAGAAACCTCATGCATGATTGCTCCACTTTAGCTGCCTTCAAAAGGAGAAACCTTTCCCCCTTCCCAGTCGCATCCAGAGGTTGCAGATGCTCGGAAGGTGTCATCCAGAAAACTGAATCGCCATCTCCCCCCTTCCATGCGAGTTTGTCTGTGCTGGGAGCTCGGGCTCAGAAACTTGCCCCTAGCGCTCGTCTGGGCGGTTGGGGGGTCTTTGCAGGCCGTGCTGTCCTTGAGGAGGATGATTTACGGAGCGTTGTTAAGGGCACCCGACGCTGACCTTGCGAGGTGCTGAGTGCGTTCTGCAGCTTGCAGTAGGTGCTCAGAACCGCACAGGATTTGATTTGGCGGGAGGTCTGAGCCCCTGTGTCTTCAACCAGCCCAGCAGTGCACCGCGGCTTTCGGGAGTGGGCTGCACGGGGCCCAGGTGGACCTGTAGGGCACCAAGGTAGGATGGGAAGATGGTTCAAGCACAAGGGGAGACAGGGCATGAAGGTCACTGCAGGGCGGGCTTGGGGTCGGCCATAGGGCTGGGTGTTGCCGGCGGGGGGAGGGGGGCTGTTTCAAAAGAGGGCAAATGTAGGCACCCAGCTGAGAGCGGGAGGATCAGTCACAGGGGCAAGGATGCAGAGGAGAATTGGGGATGGATCAGGGCCCAGTGATGACGCAGGCCCATTGTAGCGGCCAGTCAGCGAGACGTCCAGGGCTGAACTACCCCAGTGCAAATCCAGAGAAAGCGCTGAGTTTGTATGGGGGTCGCTGAAAGCCAGATTGGCTCCCGAGGTCTATCCGGGGACTGGGTGGAGGAAGAACAGCGTCCATGTAGGATGGGGTGTTCGGGGAGGAAGTGCGTGCCTCGGGGTGGGAACCGGCAGGAAGAGTCCACTTGGAGAGAGGCCCAGCGGGGAGCCTGGGGCGCTGGAAGGAAGCGGGGGTGATGTTTCTTGGGCCACTGCAATAAGCTGAATACTGGGGGCTGTGTCCCCCAGATCCAGGCCCAGGGGCTCTGGGGACCCCTCGCCCAGGCGGGGCTCACCTATCCCCGCCCTCAATCGGCAGCTGAACGCTCCTGCAGAAAGCCGGCGAGGGGGGAAGACGGGAAGGAGGTGCGGCAACTCCCTCCCTGCACAACTTCTGGGCATCGCCCTGCGAGTCGCTGGAGGTGTGGCACCCATCTCGCAGGCTCAAGAACCACACGCCTTTCCTGAGCCGCCTGCACCGAATGGGCCCCCCGAAAGGTTGGTCACCCTGGTTAGGCGGTGGGGGATTTTTTTTTTCTTTTCGCTCTTGCTTCTAAAATAAACCTCCGCTTTGTGAGCATGTTGCCTAACCCGCTTGCAGCCACACACCCTGGGGGGGGGCTTTTCTTCTTAACCAGCCTTTATTTGAAACACTCACTTTTCCTGTCTTCAGAAGCACAAACCTCACACAACTCTCCTCGGCCGCCACCGACATGTGTCCCCACGCTCAGCCCCGGCCTTCGCCTCCCCTTACAGGAAACGGTTCACGTTTGCGAGGCCAAAATCCCGGTGCCACGGCTTGGAACGGCGCCAGTCTGTTATGTCTGCCACAGCGTGCCAGGCAGCGGTGGGGGACGGCAGGGGAGAGTCCTGCTTTGCCATGCCTGGCCTGCCTTTTGGTTGATTTGCATTGCTAGTGATTGAACTGGAGAAGGAAGTTTCCACTCTTTTTGATCTCTGAGGGGCAGAAGGTTATTTTGGAGGAAGGGAGGTTATACTCAGGGCAGTGCTTTTTCTAACCAGCTCCCCTGCCCTTGCCAATGTGGGACCCCCCCAGCAGGGCCTGGTGGGCTGGGTTGGGGGGTTTTGTTTTGGAAGGCAGCAGAAGACTGAGGGAATGGCAGGTTCCCCTGTGCTAAAACACGGGCTCCAAACGGCCACAGTATTTCAGGTCTGAAATATTCATGGGGCGGCGGGCGAAAGTCGGGCATCCTGGCGGCTGTTCGGGCCTCAGGGAGTGAGAACAAGGTGCTGGCGACTGCCTTGCCTGTGTGAGATCAGCCAGCCTAGAAATCCCCTCTCCACCTCACCTTGCCTTCCACTGCAGCGTGGCCTAGTGGTTGGAGTGACTGGGACTTCGGAGAAGTCCTGTGGCTGATGTTGGAGAGGACGTCAAGCCAGATGATCACGGTGGTCCCTGCTGACTTTAGAAGTTGTGAAGCTGTGGAGTGGGGATCCTGGAGACCCGGGTTCTCTTCTTGGCTTGGCTGTTGGGTGCCTTTGGGCACTCCGAGACTCAGTTTCCCAGGCTGTACAATGGGGAGAATGAACCTGACCTCCTCTGTGAAGTGCTTGGAGATGTAGGGATGAGAAGAGCTAGGGGTGACGATTATTTATTATTCGCGGGTCTCTTTCATTCACATCCAGCCCGCTGCCTCTTCAGAGTGAGCCTGCAAAAGAGTTATTGAGCCCGTCTCTGTCCTGCTGTATGTCACAGGCTCCGACGCACCGTGGTCACCCCCTTGCTTAGAGAGTAGGGATGGCTTTAGGGGGATGGATTCCCAGCTCTGCCACTGGTTCGCTCTGTGACATGGGGCAAGTTGACAAGGGGTACGTCTCCACAGCAGCGAATCTCGGAGCCCCCCTCTGCCGAATGGGGACAATGATGTTGCCTTGTCCTGCTGCAGGCAGGGGGTTAGTTTCCTCATTTTGCAGAAGGGAAGGGAAGGTGGAAAGGTTAAGTGACATGACCAAGGCCCCAGAGACTGCTGCTGCCAGCGGTGGGATCAGTGGTCCCTTAATGAGGTTATTAAGGGCCTGACTCCAGCGCCTGTTGAAATCAATGGGAGGCTTGGCTGGGGGAGGAGGGGGCTGCTGCTGCTCTCGTGAGCTGACCCTGGTGGGGCCAGAGGAGCGGGCTCCGCTGCTGGGAGGGGCCTCGTAACACCTAGCGCACCAGCCATAGCTCTGACAGCACAGCCACAAAGCGATCCCTCCCCCAGACTGAGGGGCCGCAGGCTTTTTATGGATCCCAAAGGCGTCCACCTCTGGGCAGGAGCGTGTGTGACCGGCCTCCTTTAGGAAACATCAGGGCTGGCTTTTTGTCCCGAGCGATCCGTGCCCACGGCAAGGCCCGTGCTCAGGGCTCTCTCCGCGAGACTGGCTAGGGACTGGGCACCAGCTGGGATCGATGGCGAGTTCCTAGAAGAACAGGGGAGCACGTGAGTTTCCGGACACCGGGGAGCTCCAGGAGGTGTAGCTGCTGCGGTGGCTGACGGAGGAGAGCTATAGACGGAGGAACCCCGGCGCTGCTGGCCAGGGCTCTGCTCTGCTGCCTTCTCGGGCTCACAAGGGGCTCCTCTGGGTGAGCGTCGTGCCCATTGTTCACAAAATCCTTCGAGTCGGATCCTTCGGGGCCCTTCGTTTTGTCGCCCGTCACTCCCGCCGGCCGCACGTCAGAACAAGCAATGGCCCGCTTCCAGGGGGATGTGTCCTGTGAACAACGGAGTGAATACAACCCCCGATTCTTTAGGGGTGGTGGGCGGGGGAAAGGGAACGGCGAGAGGGGGGGACCTGTCCGCTGCTGTTACGTGAGGCATCTCCCAGGTCCCCTCGGTGTCACAGTCACTCAGCTCAACGCGGCTGCTCTCTCGTGCTCGGCGTGACAGCCCCTCGGTAACCTCATGAGACAGGTTCTCCCTTCACATCAACATAGCAAATCTGTTTTTTTTTTTTTAAAGGCGACGCGGAAGTTGTTGGGGAGACTTCCACGTGTTGACGACTTTGGCAGGGCCGCGGGAAAGGCATTGATGGAGCCGGCAGCCCGGCGGGAGGAAAAAGTCGTCATTTATCTGTTGCCTTGTTTGTTTGTTTGTTTTGTTTGGAAAGCCAGGATGCCTGGGTTCCATCCTTGGCTCGCTATGTGACCTTGGGCAAGTCGCTCGACTTCCTTAGAGCCCCGGTCTCAGTTTGTAAAGGGAGCTGAGTTCCGGGGCTGAAAAAACTGCTGTCTCCTTTTGTCCGGCCCTATCCTGTACTATGATATATAATGTGGGTTATGGTACTGCCTGGGAGTGGACCAGGACCCCGCTGAGCTAGGGGCTGGTCAAACACAGAACAAAAAGTCAATCTCCGCCCCAAAAAGCATACAATCCACGTATAGGGCAAGAGAGATCAGCTGGGTACAGACAGGTTAGCGACGGCTGGTTGGTGTGATGAGCCGCGGCCTCCGCTCGTTTTGTTCTCACCTTGTTCTGATGATCTGTGTTAACGTGCTTCACTCAGCCTATAGGGTCGCAGGTCCTGGGGGGAGATCAGACAGACCCCCAGAGCTCTCACGGGGCCTTCCCTAGACTCCCAGGAGCCCCTCTGCTAGCAGGGTCCAGCAGCTGTCCCCTTTTCCCAGGGCAGTTGGCTATGATCTGCCCCTGCAGTTGCCCCTCGCAGTCGTGGGGGTGCAGCGGCTCAGCAGAGCCGGGGGTGGGGGGCCTCTCCCTGTTCCCGAGCCGGGCCGTCTCCTACGGGGTTGCTTTACGCCTTGCCCTGCTGTCTGCCCTGTGTTAGAGTCAACCTGGCACTGGCCTACACCGAGCTGACCGAGGAGCTGTACCAGCTGAGGACCCTCAGCTCCCTGCAGAGCCAGATCCTCCGAACGCTGCTGCAGGAGCAGCCCATCAACGGCGGTGAGCACGTTCCCGGGGGCGAGGGGTTTGCACGCCGGGGCAGCGGGTTCGGTTCCCGGCGGGGGAGGTCTCCAAAGGGAGATCGGCACCATCCCCCTTGACCAGAGGGGCCCGGAGTTTGGGATCCGAAAGGGGAGAGGGGCTGGGGAAGGATGGAGAGCCCCGAGGTCAGGCTGTCACCCCTGGGGGGACGAGCCCCGCCCTGGGACGTCCCTGCTACCCCTCCTGTGCGCCTCAGGCCCAGAGGGTCGCCCTCTAGGGGCGGAAGGGGAGATGGCTCTCAGGGGCCTGGATTCCACCCTTGGCCTCTTTCCCTGATTGAGATGGTCCCTGTGCCCCACGTAGGCTGAGCTGGTCCCTGCCCGGCATACCGCCCCCAGGGCACTGCTGTCTGTGCTGCACACTGGCGGGTGGGGGGGGGGTGGCGTCCCCTTGCTGACTTGCTTGTCTTTTGTCCCATTGCTTTGCAGGCCAGAGGCACTCCCCGCTCTCGCAGCGCCGCTCCCCGGCGCCGCCCTGCCCGTCCCCGGCTCAGCAAGGCCGGCCCCCGGTCCCCCCGTGCCAGTCTCCCGCGCTGCAGCGGCGGTCTCCCGTCCCCCCGAGCCAGTCCCCTGCCCAGCAGCGCCGCTCCCCGGCGCCCCCCCCGAGCCAGTCCCCTGCCCAGCAGCGCCGCTCCCCGGCGCCCCCCCCGAGCCAGTCCCCCGCCCAGCAGCGCCGCTCCCCGGCCCCCTCCTGCCCGTCCCCCGCCTCCCAGCACCGGGCGCCCCCCGCCAGCGAGAGGAACGTGATGGATCTGGGGTACTCGAAGCCCCCAAGCCACCACATCAAAGCCAGCTTCCAGGGGCGCCGCAGCTACTCGGAGGTGAGCGACGCTGCCGTGTACCGGCAGGGCCACTCCCTGTGGCTGCAGCCCGAAGCCTCCACGCTGCCAAAGCACCGTCCCTACGGCGAGGTTTACATCGGCGGGGCCGGGGGCGCCAGAGACGCCTTCGAGGAGCACCTGCGCTTCGAGAAGCAGTCCTCCGACGAAGACGAGTGGACCGTCCCCAGCCCCCCCAGTCCCGAGGCGGGAGCCACCCGCTGTGCCTCTTTTTGCGCCGGCTTCCCCATCCCCGACCCCGCCGCGCACCGGACAGCTGCCTCCTACTCCAGGGCCGAGCACGCGCAGTCCTGGCCGTCGATCAACGTAAGCGCTAGCCCTGGTTACTGCCTAACCCGTTGTCCCGCTGCGAGCTTCTTCGCAGCAGCGCCATCTCCAGCCTGGTCTGGGCTGGCCTTGCCGAACCCCCGGCCCTCACCCCTGGACTCGGGGACGTGTGTCCCCGTTTCTCAGCAATGGGTCTGAACCAGAATGTAGGACGCAGGGAGGAAGAGGAGTGGTGGTCCTGTGGCTAAGGACGGGGAGAGCTGCGTTCCATTCCTGGCTCTGCTGCCGCCGAGCTGCGTGAACTTGGGAAAGTCACTTAACCACTGTGTGCCTCAGTTTCCCCATCAGTAAACCGGGGCGGGGGGGGCTGTGAGGATCAATCCAGTCCGTGGCTGAGGCAGTTGGTTACTGTGGTGCTGGAGGCCCCACGAAAGCCTGTAACCAGATAAGAAATGTGGGGAACTTTGGCTCCCAACCTTAATCTGAGCTCTGCCTGGTGGACCCCAGCTGTGGACAGCAAGTGCTGGGAGAGGCACCCTCTAGTGAATCCCACTAGGTAGCTCCTGTTACAAGGGGGATTTTCCTCCGCCAGCCCAGCATAACTAGTTTGGCTGAGTGGTGGCTGAGGGGAGCTGACACCTATGTCTCTGCGTCCTTGAAGGCTGCCAGGAGGGGAAGGGTGGGGTGTAACCCCCCAAGGAGTGGCCTGAAATTAATGAGGGGGGAATTCAGGCTGAAGATCCCAGCAAAGCCTGCTGAGGGGGAGACCTGGGGGCTGCAGAACAGTCTCCTGGGGGCAGAAGGCAGTTCAAAGGGAAGACCTGGGCAGCGCACTTAGACCCAGCAGGGTGGATCCCCAGCTGGTGTGAATTGGGGCTGCTCCATTGACATCAGCTGGGCTTCTGGCCCCTCAGCTCTCTGGGGAGGTACCTGGGACTCTCCTTTAAGCAGAAAAGTCATTTTTTGCCCCCTCTCACCCCGCAGCTGCTGATGGAGACGGTGGATTCTGACATCCGAAGCTGCCCCCTCTGCCAGCTGGCGTTCCCTATCGGCTACCCGGACGATGCTTTGATAAAGCACATTGATTCGCACCTGGAGAACAGTAAGATCTGAGGCTCCTCCTCCTTCCTCCTCATCACGACTTCCTTACAGCCCTGGCCCCCTTTGGATGCTGCATGAAAACACGGGGAGCAACACGCCTCCCTAAATACCTCCAAGTCTTCAGTACCTGCAGGAAAGACTGAACTGTAAGAGACTCACCTCTCCCTCTTCCCCTCACCTTGGTTTTAAGTGGGTTTCTTTTTCCCTCCCCTCCCCTCCCTGCCCCCGGGAATGGCAGGATCTGCAGTACTCCTTGTGTCAGCCGGGGGAATGCTCCGGTCCAGGTACTGGGGAGGGGCAGAACAGTTAGTAGTGGCTTCTTACAGAGGGTGTCGCTTGCCTTTTACTGCTTCTTCCTTTACAGCTCTTGCTGTGCCATTTGGTTTCTCTGGATGATCTCAGGGAGGATTGATGGAGGATGGATTCCACCCCCACACTCTGAAAGCTGCTGCGGTGAGAGGCACAGAGTTTCCATGCACCTGTCTGCGGGAATCTCAGTGCAGTTTGAGTCTCTCCCCTCTCCCCAGGGGTTTAATTGTTACAGGGCGGTTGGTTCTCTTCAGCTTTGGTCACTGTTGGCCCCTGAGAGCTTTCAAACCAACCTGCCTTGGCCTTTGGCTGCTAGTTCAAGCATCTTTCCATTAAAATCCGTCCCCCCCCCCTTTCTCTCAGTGATGCTGTTGAGAAACAAAACCCACTTTCTAGAGGTGTAGCATGGACATCCTATAATATTGCACTGAACTTAATGTCGGCTAGGGGCGGTATCCTGGTCTCTGCAAAGTCAAAGGCTGCTTTTGACTTTGACTCTGGTGGAGCCCAGCTATGTCCCTGGTGTATTTATATTCTCTTTGATGTACCGTTTACTCCTCCTTCATCCTGACACGTTGCTTTGAGTAGCTAGTTACCGTGTATCAAGAATACCCTCTGTGTCCCACATAGTGGTCACGCCCTCACCTTGCCCGCAGTCTCGTGATGGCATGTGACACTGTCGTGATGGCATCATGTTAATTCCACAGCGGTCACCTGCGTGGGTCCAAAACCCACTGTCTCTCTCCGGCCTTACCAAGCATCTTTGCATTGTACTGATCTGCGACAAGCCCATTCAGACTGGCCAGCTGCCCTCATTTCCCCCTGCCCGTACCCCGGGGACTGTCTCAATGGAACTTCATGGAGTCATTCATTCATCAGAAGTGCCCGTACAGCGAAGATCCTTTGGGAGTATCCCACATTTCCTAGCGGGACCCAGAGATATTTTTTGTGCTGGGCAAACCCCCACTCCTTCATCATTCACCAGGGCGCTGATGAAACTAGCAGCCGTAGCAGTGCGTCTCTGGGTAGGCATCGGCTGTTCCTCTGGGCCAGATCCTCAGCTGGTGTCATTCGTCCAAACTCTGGGGCGGGGAAGGGAAGGAAGAGACTCTCGCTCGCTGTTGGCAGCGCTGTGGGCTGGGAGGTGGCGTTTGCCCTCCGGCCCTTTCCACCCCAATGCTCTGCCTAGAATTGGGCCCAAACCATTAACAGTTAATCTGGAGCAACTAGATCACTGGCATTTCAAGGGGTATTCAGATGCAGGGTTTGGGCCCCACTCTCAAATTGTTCTGGGGAGTGGGTGTGGTGTGAAATTGGATTCTCTGGGCCCAAGGGGAATCCCGAGCTCCTTGTCTGAGGAAACTCTCAGATGGGGAGGGCTTGTCCACACTTGAAAGTTAATGTGGACTAAAGCACAGTGTAAATGGAAAGTGCATTAGCTGTTCCTGATTAACCCCCATGTATGGACCCTTTTATTCCACAACAAGCGTGCCCCGTTCCTGTTTAGTTTCACCATTGACCGGGGACAAGGCTGGAATACGAGGATCCACAAATGGAACAACTCCACGGGTAGTTGAGCCCTGGATTGTGGGGTTCATCCATGGAACTGCGAGACCCCAAGAAGTTAGAGGGTTCCAAACTGCCATAAGAAGGGCTTGTGGTTTAACAGGGATCAGAGCAGGGCCAACCTGCAGCTCGGGTGACCCTAGGGGCTGGCCAAAGTGATGACTAGCCTCTGGCCCCACATGCTGGGTGGCCGAGTGGTGCGTTACCGACTGATGGTGCTGGCCATCCAGGGTGGATGGATGCCAAAATTATAGGACCATGAATTGACTGATGGGCTTGATGTGGACATCACGGGGTGCGGCGCTCTGGCCTGCGTTATGTGTACCTGACGCACAAGCCACCCAGGGGTGGATCCATGCAGGAGCTTGGATCATATTGGTCCCTTCTGGCCTTAATGGGCATGTCTCCACTGCAGTTAAACTCCAGTGGCTGGCCCGTGTCATCTGACTCAGGCTTGGGCTATAAAACTGTAGGGACCCTTGTGGGGTCCCAGGCTCCAGCCTAACCCCAGACATTTACAGTGCAGTCTCATAGCCCTGCAGCCTGATCCCCGCGAGCCCGAGTCACCTGAGCCCCGGGTGTTTAATCACAGCGTAGACGTACCCAAAGCCTATGAATCAGAGAGCAATTCCAGACGCTTCCAAGCAGGGCTGACGCCGGTGCCCCTGGGTAAGGTGCCTGAGTCTAGCAGGGACGCGGGCCTTTGGGAAAATGCATTCAAACCAGTTTTGTGCATTCTGGGGAGGTGGGGATGACACCCCGCCACTCATGGCTCTCCCCCCCATATCTCATGTCACGCTGCATCTGGGGCTGGAAGTCGTGGCATTGGGCAAAAAAGGGCCCAATCCTGCGAGATTGCAGAAAAATTCCAAGCAGGCTCTGAGCACCCTCAAGTCCCACTGAAGTCGGCGGGGGCTGAAAGGGCTTGAGTCTCCTTGGAAGGCCAGCTGGCATAAATCGATGTAGCCCCTCTGCACCGATTTACACTGACAGAGGAGCTGGCCCCATCCTCCTTGGCTGATGCATCACTCCTTTCCATACTCTGGTAACACACGCTCGCCCACAAGCTGTGGATGTCACAGACAAGACAAAAAGAAAAGGAGTACTTGTGGCACCTTAGAGACTAACCAATTTATTTGAGCATGAGCTTTCGTGAGCTACAGCTCACTTCATCGGATGCATACTGTGGAAAGTGCATCCGATGAAGTGAGCTGTAGCTCACGAACGCTCATGCTCAAATAAATTGGTTAGTCTCTAAGGTGCCACAAGTCCTCCTTTTCTTTTTGCGAATACAGACTAACACGGCTGTTACTCTGAAACAGACAAGACAAGCATTTTCAGCAGGCGGAGGATTCCAGCCATATTGAAGTCATGTCACTTTAAGGTTGGGGGAGGGGCCAGCACAGGGGGGAGGAGTCAAGGGCTAGAGAAGTGCCCGTGAGCAATTTAATTTCCCCACTACTGACACCACTTGTCCCACATCCACATGAAATCTACCTCAGAGCCAACGAGAAGCGGAAAGGATGGAGAGGCAAGATGGGGCTGAGCTGCCCAGGTCCGTCTGTAGGGGTCTGATGCATTCTGCATTGTGGCGCAAAGCCTGATGCGACAATGCACGGCTCTGTCTGAAGAGCCCAGAGCTACCCCTTCCCCATGCGTGGCCTGCAGAGAGCTCTCAGTGTGTCGTTTTTTGTAGGCTGCTCCGGGCCTGTTACTTCAATCCCCCCGTTCTAGTCCCACGATCCAAAGCAGAAATACGTGATGTGGTATAATCTCCGCCCCTCTCCCAACCGAGCACCCAATCGGGAGATCCAAGCGGCCTGTCAGTCATCGTTCTGTGCTGCATGCTCTTGACTGACCCCTCTCGATACGGCCCGCCAACGAACACGGGCCCCTGAGATCCCCAGCTCAGGAGAACGTGGAGAGACATTGGTCTGTACGTATCTTCCTTTTGTGTATGTTCTCTTTGAAGAGATCCTGTGCTCTGTGAAACAGAATAAGTCAAATAAAAGTTACCTATAGACTGAAGCGTCAAGTGGCAGCCAAAATCTCTTCTCTTTTGGGCTCTGTGGGTCAGGGCTGGCTCGTTCGCTTTTGCAGTTAAATTCCCCAGGATAACATAATCTGCTTGGCCAGGGACAAAACGTTGGTCTAGTACTTGGAGTAGAGGATTGGGAGTCAGGACTCCTGGGTTCTATTCCTGGCTTTTGGAGGGAGTGTGGTCTAGTGGTTAGAACAGAAGAATGGGTGCCAGGACTCCTGGGTTCTATTTCTAACTTGTGGGGGCGAGGGCATGTGGTCTAATGGACAGAGCTGGGCACAGGACTCCTGGGTACTACTTTCAGCTCTGGCAAGGAGTGAAGTGCTTCCCAAACTTCTGATAAGAGTGAGCCACCCCTTAACAGATAAATTGTTTGTTCCATCCCCCTCCCTCCCCGCCTCTCCTTTTCACGATCACAGCTTAAGCTCATCTCTAGCTGGCAGTGAAATTAGATCCCCGACAGCACGTCTCCCAGGGAGAGGGGTAGGGAATGGGTCTGATTCGCTCCCGGCTTACACTGGTGTCAAACTACTAACTCCACAGATGTCTGTGAGCGCTGGATCAGGCTTCAGCTGGGTGGGCTGGAACCTGATTCACCGTGTGAGAACAGCTGGTCCGTGAGGGGCTGTCTCGGCTATGTTAGAGTGGGGTGACTCTGATGGTCTCCGGGACTGAGCAAGAGCGGGCTAGAAAATGGAAATCCCTTCCTGAGAAAAAGTTGACTTTCTTTTTTTTTTTTTAATTTTCTGTCCCTAATGAAAAGTCAAAAATGTGAAATTTTTTTTGCAGGAAGGGAGGGATTTCCAGATTAAAATCTGTATGGGGAGAACCACAATGGAATCTTTTGGCATCCCAGAGGCTTGCTGGGAAGGCTGTTGTCGATTTCACAGGCCGCCTGCTGGGGGAAAGTGAAACTGACAAGAGTCTTCCAGGGGCTCCCTCTTTGCAGTTTTCCACCAGAGAAAATCAAAAAATGTTCAGCAACATTGAAATTTTCCGCCTTAGCACAACACCAGAACCCTGATCTCGGGTACCACCCTCATGCAGACAATAAGGCCGGGTCTACACGGAGCTAGACGCAGCTATGTCGCTGCGGGATGTGACCTAAACCCCGATGCAGACAGCGCTAGCTTCTCCCAGTGCTGTAATGGCGTCTACATTGACACGCAACAGCGGCGCCGATGTGGCAGTTTAAATGTAGATGTAGCCTAATAACCTCCCTGCTTGGAAGTGTCGTGGATCATGGGAAAGATAGGATTGCTCTCTATAAACATATCAGAGGGATAAATACCGGAGCGGGAGAGGAATTATTTAAGCGCAGTACCAATGTGGACACAAGAACAAATGGATATAAACTGGCCACCAGGAAGTTTAGACTTGAAATTAGACGAAGGTTTCTAACCATCAGAGGAGTGAAGTTTTGGAATAGCCTTCCAAGGGAAGCAGTGGGGGTAAAAGATCTATCTGGCTTTAAGATTAAACTTGATAAGTTTATGGAGGAGATGGTATGATGGGATAACATGATTTTGGTAATTAAATATTCATGGTAAATAAGCCTAATGGCCTGTGATGGGATGTTAGATGGGGAGGGATCTGAGTTACCCAGGAAAGAATTTTCTGTAGTATCTGGCTGGTGAACCTTGCCCATATGCTCAGGGTTTAGCTGATTGCCATATTTGGGGTCGGGAAGGAATTTTTGCCTTCCTCTGTAGCATGGGGCACGGGTCACTTGCTGGAGGATTCTCTGCA